ATGAGCAATTGTAATTGCTTCAAAGTTCTTTCCTTGCTAGAATAAAAGAAGGGAGGGAGGGAGGGAGGGAGGGAGGAAGGAAAGAAGGAAGGAAGGAAAGAAAGAAGGAAGGAAGGAAAGAAAGAAATAAAGGAAAGAGAAAGAAGGAAAGAAAGGAGAAAGGAGAGAGAAAAGGAAGGGAAGATGGGGAAAAGAAGGGAGGGAGGGAGGGAGGAAGAGAGAGAGAGAGAGAGAGAGAGGATAGAGATGATAGAGGAAGAGGTAGAAGTAAAAATAGAGATAGAGAAACGAAGTCACTTACTGGCTATTTCCTCTTTCTTTTCTTCCGTAGATTACAGGCTTTCCTTTCAGCGAGAGGCCCCCAGATTCTGGGAGATGTGACCCCCACTGCCTTTCTGATATTTGAGCAGAGGGTCGGAGCAATGGCAGTTGCCGGAGGAGATGGGTTTGAAGAGCCACATTGAACAACATGCAGTCCAACTCTCATCTGAACTAACCCCACCCTTTCAGTTCCCCTTTTCTTAGTTTCTGACCAAGCTGTCTCTGTTTCCTCTCACCGAGAGGCCACATGGGTGCAAGACAAGATTTATTTTTTGTTAGTTTTTGGAGGAGGGAGGGATCTCTAGTTTCTTGTCAGTCCCCCCCCCCCTCCAAAGGCAATGAAATCATCTCCAGGTGCGAAAAGACTAGAAAAGGCAGCTGGACAAACTGGTTGGTGTAGAAGCCAACCATGGAGACCAAAAGGGACCCACAAAAGCTTTCCAACTAAGGGCTTTACACAGTATTCTTCTTCCAACCGTTGAATTGGAAATGTCCTGTGGAATCCAAAAGCTTGCTTTTGACGAAGAGCACTCCACTCCTCCGCTTGCAGTAGAATACCTTATGCCACTAGACTTGAAATTTTGGACCTAGACAACTTAGAACTATACTGCCTGTGGTGTGACCTAAGCTTAGTACACAAAATTGTCTGCTACAACGTCCTGTCAATGACTACTTCAGCTTCAACCACAATAACACACAGGCAAACCATAGATACAAACTCAAAGTAAAACCGCTCCAAACTCGATTGCAGAAAATACGACTTCGGCAACAGAGTGGCCAACGCCTGGAACTCACTACCTGACTCTGTTGTTGTATCTTCAAACCCCCAAAACTTTAACCTTAAAGTACTGTAGACCTCACTCCATTCCTAAGAGGTCTGTAAGGGGGCATGCATAAGCACATCAGCGTGCCTACCGTCCCTGTCCTATCGTTCCCATTTATCCATACTCATTTATTATGTATATACTTATACCTGTTTATACTTATATGTTTATATGTTATGTTCATACTTCTACTTGTTTTCTCATACATGCTTGACAAACTAAACTAAATAAATACTTTACTGATGGCCCTTTGGAAGAACAGATGGCACAGCAAAGCACAAAAAGACAGCCAAATAAATAGTTATGGTTGACACGAAGAGTTTAGCTGAAAAAGGGGGGGAAATCCAAGCTAGCCACTAATAAAGGAGATATTTGTAACTCAGAGTTGAAATCCAGGGTCCTTGATGACTCTGAGCTTGGTGGTTTCCTTGCAAAGTTTCCTGACCCAACTAGGGAACACCATCACTGCTAGCACTGATGATGTTGCCTAGTTTGGGTAAACACTGGATTCATTCACACACACATCAAGCCCTGGGATTGGTTTGGGTTTAGCTGTGTACTGTGTGGTTCCAGTTCATACACTCTATACCCTAAAATATATGGCTCCTGTAACCCAGGGAAATGAAGCTTATTCAGTAAACCAGGGGTAAGCCAAGAATAGAATGGAATGGAATAGAATAGAATAGAACAGAACAGAACAGAACAGAATAGAATTCTTTTATTGGCCAAGTGTGATTGGACACACAGGAATTTGTCTTGGTGTAAATACTCTCAGTATACATAAAAGAAAAGATACATTCGTTAAGAATCAATTCTATCAATTCTAGGCTGCTTCTCTCCTTGATTAATAGTTTCCATCCATTGCTTCTTCTCCTGCCTTTGGTGCTTTGAAGAATAGGTTGGCCCCCTTCTTCTTTGTGGCAGCCCCTCAAATATTAGAACACTGCTATCACGTCCTTCCTTTCATCAAACTAGACATACCCAGTTCCAGCAACCGTTCTTTATATTATGTTTTATAAATGGCTTGGTGTGTGGTACAAAGTAATCCACAGAGGAGATTCCTTTTGCAGCTTTAACTGGGGGTTTAATGTTAGTTGCAAACGGTCTTGCATAGTAAGTGTCTCTGACCACATACACAAGTATTTACTGTATTTACTGTATCTGTTAGCACTGATTTTAGCCACAGCCTGTTTGTCTTTTTGCAATAATCAAAATTAAAATGTGGTGTCCCCCCCCCCCAACTGGTCTAATTCTACAAGGTCTCTTATCGAAATTGTTGACTTGACTTTGGTAGGCTAGATTCCGACAACTGGCTTGGCCCCGGTTTGTTCAATCACGACCGAATCAATCAAGTCAACATCTGATTGATTTCCAACCACAGACTAAGCCAGTGATGGCTAACCTTTTCAGCTTGGTGTGTCGAAAATCGGGAAAAAGTATAGCCTTCCTCGGGTCGTGTGTCACTTCAAGAAATATCAATAATTTGGTTTATGACGGACTGGGCTGGGGTGATCACACAGGGCTGTGAAACTCGTCTCCCTGGTCTCAGGGCTGCAGGTGCAGGATGTGGGGATCGGAAGGCCACCTTACAGGGCTGTGAACCTCATGGATCTCCTTTCCTCCTGTAGCGTTCCTGAGGTAATGAAACTGACAAACCTCAGTTTATGGCGGTTAAAACTGGTTCTCTGCTGCAAAGATCTTGCGGCAGCGGTGACACCACGCCTCCACGCAACAAGCAGGGAGCAGGGATTGGAGCGGAGCACAGGCAGCCTCTAAATGTGCAGGTTTTCCCCACACCAACAGGCGTGTCAGTCAAAGTGCCTTGGCGTGTCACGAGTGACACGCGTGTCATAGGTTAGGCATCACTGGACTAAGCCAAACATAAACCAGCGACCTTCTGGCTTGTTCTGTGCATGTGGAGAGATGCAAGCCCTGGCCAGCTTGGCCTCCACTCGGATGAAATCTGCACAGAAAAAAGCCCCAAGGTTGCAAAGCCACCGAGGCTTCCTCTTTTCGCGAATTTCGCTCCAAAGAAGTGATGACCTGTTTAGTTTTTTTCCCCTTCCAAAGAAAAATATCTACCCCCCCCCCCCAAAAAAAAAGAGGACAGGAGTCGGAAACCACTCTTCTGCTTTTTTGCTTCTCTGGCCGGTTCCTCCTCTGGTCCTTTGAGTGATTTGAACCTCAATCCCTGACGGCGCTTTCAAGAAACGCCGAAAAAAATATGATGATGATAATGACAGTATTTGCTCTTGTACACCATCACTTCCTGCCTTTTTCCGGCAGGGGGCAGCCGCATTCTCCTTATTTCTTCCGAACTGTGTGCGTTGGATACGGCGCTCTATCCTCCAAACTTCCTTCCTTCGTTCCCCCCCCCCGCCGCTCTACGGTCTTTACTTCCGCTTCCGGCGAGAGGCTCTTTCTCTGGGCGCCGCTAACGTCGGCAAGATGGTGAGTTAACCGAATCCGGTTCCATCCGCCGCCGGGCCGGAGGATTGGGGCCCCGGAGTGGGGGCCGGGGTGGCGGCCGAGACCGAATAACGTGGCCGTGGGGCTCTCGTGGGACGCGGGGAAAAAGGAACGTGAATTTTATATTCGGTAAAGCCGGAGCGAAATATGAAAGGAATAAAAGACATGGTTCCCTTCACTACCTTCGTTTAGGCCTAATTCCCAGTGCAGCGGCCAATCAGATCGCTCGAAAAGACCCCGTGATACTTAAAAAAGAGCCGATCCCAGAATTTCAGTTTTCCTTCTCCCTCCCGTCCCTTTTTTTTTCTCTATTGGGCATCTTAGATGGTTAAATCTTAGCTTGTTGATTCCCCAAGCCTGATTATGCATAATGGATGATAACCATCCCATTAGGTGGGTTTTTGAATGTTTCTCATGGACCAACTTTTCTTTATGAGTTAGGGAATCGAAAGATCCTCACGGATTTCTGAAAGGATCAGTGAATCTGCCCATCCAGATCCAATCCAGAAATGAAGTCTGGGTTGTGGGTCATTTTTGCAGTGCAGTGCAAGGGTTAAAAATGGAGCTTTGGACAAAAGACATGCATGTATTTTATCTTATGTCCACTGAGAGCATTTGCACCAAAGACAAATTCCTTGTGTGGCCAATCACACTTGGCCAATCAAGAATTCTGTTCCTATTCCTATTTTATTCTATTTGCTATTCTATCCGCTCCAGTAAACAGATATTCCACTTTCTGGAGGAGAAAGTCTGAAATAATTCCCTTGGATGTGCTTATTTGAATAGCTCCTTAAGTAGAAGCCAACAAACTGGATCAAAAGTAGCTTTCTCCCTTCTCCCTTCAGACACTTATTGTCATTGTCAGGAACTATTATGGTCAGGAAGGGTACAACCCAGAAACATTAGTCTGGGCCCAGAATGTTTAATGGCTAATGTTATTCTTACAAGGTGCCGAGATGATTGGCCTTGTTCCTAAAATGCAAAATGTGCGCCTGTTTCTTTTGAACTGGTAAAATAATGGTGCAGCAATGGAAGCTAATCCAAGATTATCTTTGGAAACTAATCAAGATTGACAGTTGCAAATTAACAAAATAGCTAATCATACAACTGGTACAGACGGGTGGGATGCTACTGGTTCTGCCTGGCTCTATAAAACCGATAGCTCTGAAGAGCAGCAGACACCAAACCGGTTCTGTGTTTGCTGCTGTTTGGCCCACCCGCCCACCTGGGCTCTTACCTGTCCTTTATTTCCTGCTTTTTCAACCTCAGCTGCTTTGCGCGGTACAGCCTGAGGTTGAAAAAGCAGGAAAAAAAGTGGCTTTTCAAATGCTGCGCACCTGCTCAGCCAGCCCAACTTAAGGTTTTTTACGCACGCATGCAAAACGTCATCGAACCGGTAGTAACACCAGTTGAATCCCACCCCTGGGTACAGAGATAAGAGTTTGCACAACATGCTAGGGTAAAATGGAGATTGGTAATTTGTGATTCTGCTTGCTGCAGGAAAGACTCTTAGTAAGTTGGTGAGCCCTTCACACCCTTGAGTTATTTATAAATTAATACAGGTGGAATAAATTTTTTTAATAAAATAAACCCTGTTTTCTGATGAGCCAAAAGCTTTTCCTTGCTTGGGTGCTTTCCAAGTTTAGGGACTTCAAAATTCCAAGCAGTGGCCGTATTAGCAGGCCGTAGTTCTGGAGTTGAAGTTCCTATTTGTCTGAAGTGGTGTAGGGTTTCCTGCCTAAGCAGAGGGTTGGACTAGAAGACCTCCAAGGTCCCTTCCAACTCCGTTATTCTATTTTTATTTCAATATTGGGAAAGAGAGCAGAGTTGGAGAATTCTCCCTGGAATATTTGCATGTTTTTTTTTTTTCCCTACCTGGGGAACGTAGAGTTCTATTAATTGGTGTAAAACTGATTTTTTTGACAGGTGAATGTCCCGAAAACCCGCAGGACTTATTGCAAGAAATGTGGCAAGCATCAGCCCCACAAAGTCACCCAATACAAGAAGGGCAAAGAGTCTTTGTATGCTCAAGGTGAGTTGTGTTTGGCGCATTCTTGTCTCAAATTAGCCCTCCATGCATTACAGCACTGCATTCTCACTTCCTGATTTCTTTCAAGGATGAAAGATTATTTCCTTTCCACTCTTCAGTTTATTCTTAGGTACAATTGCCGTTTGTATCGGTTTCTAAATATATACGCAATATATATCTAAATATATATGCTTTGGTTTTTTTTTTAAAAAAAGGCCTTTGTTTCTTCTTTATAAGAAGAGGGGAAAAGGACAGCCCCCTCAATTCATTTCCATCTGAACCAGAGATACAGAGGTCTTTGTAAAGAAAAAATGTTGGAACTGCTTGTGCATGTTAAGAACAAAAAGTCTCAGAGTGGAAGGCTGCGGATCCCACCCCTGAGGAAGATACACCTGGTGGGGGCTCCCTCTCTCTGGAACATCATCCCCCCAGAGATTAGAACCCCCCCCCCCCAGCACTTTTCCGGAAGGCGCTGAAGGCCTGGTTCTGCCAGCGGGCCTGGGGAACCCAGAGCGGGATGGAGCCCATCAAATGGCTCGTGTGATTTGCCGCCATCGGGACAGGATGCGGGTGGAGTGGGAGTTAGGGGTGTGTGTGTGTGTTTTTAGTTATTTTTTTCCAGATCTTCTATTATACTTTATTAATTTATCTGATTCTTTTTGTTCCTTTTTATTGTTTTTTTATTTATTTTAAATATGGTTTTACATTCTTTAAGCCACCTCGAATTGCCATGGGCGAATAGGCGGCAATATAAATTCAGTCAATGAATATAGTACAGATGACTTGCGGCGCCAGTGCGACGTGCAGTAACTTCACATGGTGCAATAGGATTGTGTGTTTGTTAGTGGGATTCACTGGGTTAGGGGTTTTCTGTCTTCCTGGTGAGTTGTGTTGGGGGGGGGGTAGGGGTGGGAATCTCCCGGTTTGGAGCGGTTCGGGTGAACCCAGCGTGGGATAGAGCCCATGAAATGGCTTGTGTGATCTGCTTTTCGCCAGGGCGGGGGGTGATTTTATTCATGATTTTATTATTATATTTATCTGATTCTTTTTATTAGTTTGTTTTAAATGTGATTTTATATTCTGTAAGCCGCCTTGAGTTGCCATGGGCGAATAGGCGGCAATATTAATTTAATAAATAAATGGGGGGAAACCTGTGATTGGACATTCTGAAAAGCACGGGGTTAGAAGGGAATGGAAGCACTGAAACTCCCCATAAAGAATAGCAGCCATATAAATTTCTAACTGTCGGAAGCCATAATGTAAAAAAAACCCTAGTAAATAAAGATGGTTGGGTTGATGTAGTTGGTCGTGTTTGTCCACTTGTAAGGTTTGCAGTCGAGAAGAAGCAGACCGTGATTTGATCTGAGGAAAACTTTCTTTTAGGAAAGCGGAGATACGACCGTAAGCGTAGCGGCTATGGAGGTCAGACAAAGCCCATCTTTCGCAAGAAGGTAAGCTTCATTTGGAAGTCTGTTGAATCTTATTTGAAGCATTAATACTGGAAGATAGACTTAAAAAATAAAATAGTTTTATTAATTTATAATATGACATACAAAAGCAAATATTAGGGAAATTAGGAAAGGGAAAAGAGGAGGGGATAGTGGGGGAAAGCAAGGGAAAAAGAAAAAAGGCATTGACTTCTGACTCCTTTGATGCAGTAAAATAAGGCATTAAAATCTACCCTCAACTTTTTTTTTTTCCATAATAGAAACTAGCCATTTCTATAGCAATGGGAGATAAAAAAAAAATTGATCTTTTTTCTATGTGAGGATGCTAGCAGGGGCTGTAGAGGGATTAAGGACAGCAGATAGAATTGCTATCAAGACAATCGTCCTCTTTTAACAATCCCATAATCCCTTGAGGGATGGAGTCTGGGCAACTGAATGAAACCGAGTGCTTACTGGCCGGATGCTCTTCCTATCACCAATGTGGAGTTTTGTTCAGCAGATATATTCTCATCGTGCCCAGAGAGAAATATCTGTCGCTACCTAGGATTGAACTCACAGCCTTCTGATTGTGAGGCGAGAGCTCCACCTCTAGGCCACCGTACCACTCAGTTTCTATCAAGGCAACAGTCCAAAAGGGTCTTGAGCCCAGGCCAAGAAAAACAGGTCCCAGACAAGCCCCTCCTTAGTTGAGATGAATATGAAGAAGTACATTCAGACTTGCAAGATTCTCTTACTGTAGCTATTGCAATAAACACAGTCCTCACCTGTATGGCACTGATGTCTTATCTGGCCTACCTTGTTGGACTGTGACAGTGCTGAATAGGCCCCAAGTCAAAAAAGGGTTTTTTTAAAAAAAACCTTTCCACAGATCCAAGTTTATTATCGTTAAAAGTTCAAAGCTTGCAGAAAATGTGGAGAAAACTGAGAAGGGTAAAGTTTCTGAAATAGCAATAGCACTTAAGACTTATATACTGCTTTATAGAGGTCAGAGTCAGCCTCTTGCCCCCAACAATCTGGGTCCACATTTTACCCACCTCGGAAAGGATGGAAGGCTGAGTCAGCCTTGAGCCTGGTGAGATTCGAACTGCCCAATTGCAGGCAGCTGGCTGCAGAAGCAGCTTGCAATACTGCGCGCTAACCACTGCGCCGAAGATGTGTAACACCACCTCCTTCCTGCTTGCAGGCAAAGACCACAAAGAAGATTGTGCTGAGACTGGAGTGCGTGGAGCCGAACTGTAGGTCGAAGAGGATGCTGGCCATTAAGAGGTGCAAGCACTTCGAGTTAGGAGGAGACAAGAAGAGAAAGGTACCGTCTGAGCAATATTCTGGGCAGTGGTGGATCCGTTACTTTCGTGCAGGGCTGTCAAACTCATGGGCCAGATGTGTCACATGCTGGCCACACCCAGTTTAGCGAAGGGGGGAAAGTCACGCTACATTGCATGACGCCGTGAGGACGCAAATTTGACACACCTGCTTTAGTGTTACGAAACGAAAACTGGTCTACTTGGATGAATATGTGCTTAGCAGTTCTGGAGAAAGTAGCTTTAATGTGGAGCACCAGATTAGCCACAGAATTGGGTGGAATGCAAAGAATAAATGGAAAGCATTTGAGTAAGGAATATATAGAAAAATGATAAATTGGCTGATTTTCTTTTACTAGGACAAATGTTTGAAGTTACACCTTTTGTTTTTTGAAATAGCACCTGGGTACATCTGTAGGCATTGCAGCCTATTTTTTCACATTTGGAAAAAATGGGGGAGAACCAGTTCGAGAATGTTATCTAGGGCAAGGGTCGGCAACCCGTGACTCTGGAGCCGCATGTGGCTCTTTCATCCCTCTGTGGCTGTCGCCACAATTTTGAGAGGAGCTTCCAGTTGGGGTGGGAAGCACGGCGTGCCAGGAGGAGAGACTCTGGCAAGGGGCGGGTTTTACGGTTGACTTCACAATTGATAGGGCTTTCAGTTAGGTCAGGTAGAGGAAAAAGGACCCCGTGCTAGGAGGAGACTATGGTGGGGGAACCGGACTTCCGGTCGGCTCCAGAATTGATCGGGGGAGTTCCGGTTAGGACTTTCGTGGCTCTTTGAGTGTTTAAGGTTGCCAACTCTTGATCTAGGGCAGGGGTCTCCAAACTTGGCCACTTTAAGTCTTGTGGACTTCCAACTCTATGCTGGCTGGAGAATTCTGGGACTTGAAGTCTACAAGCCTTAAAGTGGCCAAGTTTGGAGACCCCTGATCTAGGGCCTTCCATGTCCCAAGATTCCGAGGTCATAAACTTGTAATCAAAGTCTAGGCATATTTTCAGTTTTCTAAGACAAGGTTGCTTTCCAAAATTGAAAAACCCATCCAACGAAATGTGCTTTCATTTGTCACTGTAGCATGTGCTTAGTCGGCATCTTTATTTTTCTTTTCACAGGGCCAGGTCATCCAGTTCTAGATACTCTTTGGTATGGAACCCATTAAAATTCTGTCAGAACACAATGGTTTGTTGTACTTTCTTTGCTGCTCGTTGTTGGGAGACGCCCTTAAGAGTTCGTCTGATGTGAAGATTGTTCTTACCACAAAGCGCACATTGGTAACCAAAAAAAAGGAATGTGATTTAGCTGAAGAAACGGCTCCTGATTTGGGAAAATAAGTGTAGGAGGGGAGGCTTTTTCAGTTCTCCTGCCTTTTGGGTAAGTTTCTATAATTCCAATTCTACACATTCTTAATTCTACACGTTTATTGTTTATTATTTGGCACATTATATTCCAAAGCATATTATTGAAAGCATATTAAAAAATCTACTCAAAATATATTATGTCCAAAATCAAAGAAGTAAAACTGTTCCACATCCCTCCTTTTCAAGACATTAATTGCAATTTTTAAAGTACATGTTTATTAAAAGAATGGGATAGAAGCTATCTTCCGATTGAAGAAACCTTCACGAAACTTTGGCGGTTTTTTTCTCCTCCCCTTCTGCCAACTGGCTCAACAGAATTGATTAGATTCCTTTGATCTTCATTCTCTTTGAAATAGTAACAGCAAATGGAATAAATGTAACAGTTTGACTGACTTGATCATAATCTGGGCCCTCAATCGGTGGCTGCCTTGGACAAAGCTAGCATCAGTGCAGGCAGGAAAGATTTATTGGGGAAAAAGCATTTTAATGAACTGCAAAATTCAGGTTCAGATGTTAAGGGCTGGAATTCTCAAGATCAAAGCTGAGGTAGTGCCATTCCAATGTTGCAGAGCCTCCAATATCAATAGAGACTTTTGCAACTCCAAAAGCTGAAAGTTGCTTCACATGTGTAGTACTTTTTAATCTGTTGGATTTTAGGAGTAGCAAAGTGCACCCAAATCCTTTTAAGAATTTCTTCAGTTATTGCACAATTTACCCATAAACCTACTGTATCCTTACATATCTCTTAATTTTGATCCAGTGATTGTTGAGAAGCAACTGCAAGTATATACAATTGCAGTAGGTCATCTTTTTTGTGTCCCAGCAAAGCCCACAGCACAAGAGAGTAGGCTACTATTGTTACACAACAAATTGTGTTTGTATATAAAACCACTTGATAAACATGATCAAGTGAGCTAATTTTGTTTTCAGCGGTGCCTCCAAAAAGACAAGACAATGTCACCTTCTTGAGGCTTAAAATCTGAGAATCCCGAAAAGACCATCTCTGCATTTCTTGACAATCAACTTCTTGAAGCAAAGACTCTACAGCGATTTTCCTTTGATTTCTTTGGGCGGCTTTGCGTTAGATCCTCTTGAAAGAATTTGCAAGGGGAGAATGCTGCCATGTTATAAGAGGTCTTTAGGGTAGCCTCTTCCATGGTCAATAAAAAGCGTGTGTGTGTTCACCACTATCTTCAGCAGCACAGTACCAGTTGGGTTCACCACCAGCTTCAAAAAGGAAACCATGTTGTGTAGCCCCAAGTCTCTCCTGGTCGGAAGAATTTGCTCAATCAAACAACTGGGATTACAAGCTAAGCCGTTGCCAATGATCATGGTAGCAAGGACATAGGCCTGTGGTCCCCCCATCTCCCGCCGGTTTAGTATGGCTACGGCAAAAGCTCCTTCGGAGAGTGGCCGTTCCCACACCTCAAAGGTTTTGTCCTAGAGAAAATAAATAACGTCAGTCAGAAGAAGCACGAATGCATCTTTAATCAGATTACACAGAGACCAAGAATCATCTTCATGTAACGACCCCATAATCTCTTGCAGGGTGGAGTCTGGGCAACTAATGGAGCTAGAATAACAATAGCATTTAGTTATATACCGCTTTATAGTGCTTTATAGCCCTCCTGATTATGAGGATTCTAGGCCACCGCACCAGTCTGCACAGAGACCAAGAATAGTTGCAATAAATGAATCAAGTCTACCTGTCTGATCCTGTTGCAGAGGGCATTTAATAGCCTGACTGTAAAATTAATAAGCATTGAAACATACCCTTCTTACTTCTAAAAGTTAACCATCACCAAGGATGCTTTTTTAAGTTAGCATCAATTCCTTGTAAATAGGCGTAGTGTATTTCAGTGTATACTAAAAACAAAATTGCAAGTATGTTAAAGCTAATGGAATGCGTTTGAGGATGGATGGATCTAATTCTAAAATATTCATGGTGATTATCACTTGTGCAATGGCATATGCAAATGGCAAAATGATGCAAGCAATGTAAATGCAACTTAACTAAATGTGAATACACATTTAAGGGCTTTGTTGAGACTGGATGCAAGAGACAAGGATGAAAATGCTGGTTGTGCTCAAAATCAGATAAATGGGATGGAGGTATCTTAAATCACAATTATAGTGTAATGTAATCCTGTCTTTGCACACCGCTGATAAAGACTTTCTACAGCTGAAGTCGCCAAGTCGTCTCTTACCTTGACAATTCGGTAACCCTGCTTGCCCAAGGGATCCTGGTTGATCGCTATCACTTCCTTGTTCTGGAGGAGAGCCTTGGCTTTGGAGTTGATCTGACGCAGGTCGTTGGACATCAATAGTGGGGCCGCCATAATAGCCCAGAAGGCCATTTGTGTTATCTGCTGGTCCCAGCTCAGGCCAAAATTCCCAATCACCAGCTGGAAAGAAAAGTTCACAATGGATGCCTTTTGTGCTACAAAATTCAGCCGGAGTGCTAGAATTCATTGCAGAAATCAAATCCAGAAAGCACACACAGATGACTGATTCAGCAGGATTCATTAACTTCTTTATATACACAATAACATATGAAGTAAAGTTTACAGTACTAATAGTAGATTCTTCCAATGTGGTAAAGCAAAAAAAAATACAAGCAGCAGCTTCAGAGCTCAGAGCAGATTTAGTTTCACTTTAAACCGCTCAGATAAGTTTTGTTTCTTCAGAGCTGAGCATGGAGCTAAGCCACGCCCAGATTCCTTCCAGACTCAGCCCCCCCAATTCAGCTCCCATTGGCTGACCTTGTTACCCATGTCTCTGTCAGTTCATGAATATTCTGACATGGAGGGTAGGAACAGAAGAGACTCTAGCAAGGAAACTCTCCTTCCTCGGGCACATAAAGGATCACAGAGGATTTCCTGGCTCAACTCCTGGGAGATCCCCTTCAAAGAATCAATTCGCAGGTGATGAGAAGATCTCTTGGAAACTAAGCTGATACACCAGGTTAAGCCCAACCCCAAAGAAACCAGGTTATGGATTAGTGCAATGTCTGGAACGCCTTTCCTGTAAAATCTATCTGATGCTGGGTTAAAATAGTAAATTGTTCTGTAGCTGCAGCCTCTACATTTGACACAGAAGAGTGGAACAAGGCTTACTTGCAACTAGTATGCACTGGGGACATAAGAGGGTCTGTCTAACACCTTCCCCAAAACCAGCCGTTGCAGTTCAGTAGCTGCTGAATGGGCCAGGACCTTTTCCTTTGCTGCCTACTGTGTTCTGATGGCTACTATTGCTAAACATGTTCGGCTGAAATTTCATTCGAAGTAGGAAATAGGACTGTAAGCCTGGTAGAACAAGTTTTTGTTTGTCAACTGTCTTAACACATCTTTTTTATTTTGTTTCCCTGTTTCCAACTTCCATTTTTTGTTAACCATCGATCAAATAGATCCCATATCATATAGTGTTCAGTTTGCTCTTTTTCCTTAATTGCCAACGTTTATCATTTCTGCACATTCTAATATTTCCCTAATCACATTCTCATCTGTAGGTATCTCTTCACTCTTCCAATTTTGTGCAAATACAATTCTAGCAGCAGTTAATATATGAATAACTAAATATGTATTTTCCTTACTGTATTTTTCGGGTAGAATCCCCAACAGAGTCGCTTAGGTGAGACAAATGGTGTAGAAATTTTGATAAGATGAATAAACCTTTAAAAAGGCCTCACCCACTTTACCTCCCTGCCCTACTTCTGCAACACATTGAATCTCCCCCAAATGTTACATGTGGACCCCTGAAATTAGTTACTGCCCATGGGACAAAACTATTATTTCAACACTCCGATTGTTAAATGTCTGTGGAGAATCTGTTGTCGAGGTCATAGCTATTTCAAAAGTGTTTTGTTTTTTTCCTCAAATGGCAACTGGACTGTTTTTTGCTGGAGGAAGAAGACATTTCGCTTCTCATCCAAGAAGCTTCATCAGTTCTGGCCAGGTCCACCATTCTGCCAGAACTGATAAAGCTTCTTGGATGAGAAGTGAAACATCTCAAGGGAAAAAAATACCCCCTTTTGGTGGTGGAAAAAAACCCACCTTTGAGACTTCAATTGTTACAATCCAAAGCAATAATTATATATCAGCCTACTGATTTTACTTTGATTTTACCTGATTTTACCATTTCTTTTATGAATATGCAGGCCATTTACAGATGCATTTACACTGGCTGAGATAAATGGCCTCAGGGCAGGTTTTCTTACCATGTCTGGGTCATTCCAGCCACCAGGCCCTGCTATGTCGACCAGAATATCCTGGTTATAAGAAGTCCAGTCTAAGATATTCTTGATGCTGCTCCAGGAATCAGAGATGTCAGCATAATTCCTCCAGTAATTGCAGTAGTGCTTAATTTCTGTATAGTTGACCTGCCAGGAAAGAGGTAAAGAAGAAACATTAATTTCATACCTTTAGCCCTAAACGTTAAGTTGAAGAGACTCCAGAATCAAAAAAAAAAAAAAGTAACAGACTTTTTTCAGGTTGCAAGAGGGAAAACTTCAGAAGTAAATACTGCAATTGAACAAACTGAGACATTGTAGGAACCTGCTTTAATTCAAATCCCTGCTTGTCAGATATTCTTTACCAGACATACAACCTGGTGACCATCTTCTAGAATGAGATCAAAAGAATGCCCCTCCCCCCTTACCTTTTTAAAGGGTCTCTGGTAAAGTGGCCATTCACAGGAATATACAATACTTCTTCCTGTTTTATTCAACGCTAAAGACATTTTCTTATAACCTGGAAGGAAAAAAGCATTAAAGTATTCCAGCCTTTTCCAACATCCTCAACAGAAGATAGCTTGACTTCTTTTGACTACAGGTAGTCCTCGTTTAGTGACCACAGTTAAGATTGGCAACTCTGTCATTAAGTGAATCAGTTGCTAAGTGAAACCGCAACTCTGGCTGTAATCTTACTTCAGCTTTCCTTTGCTTATAGACTTGCGAAGGTCACAAATGCAGAAATTTTGTTGCAAAATTCCCTTTTAATTGTTGTAACTGTGAATGGCTGCTAAATGAGGCAGCTGCTAGATAAGGACTATCTTTAGACATAGAATCATAGGATTGGGAAAAGACTCTTCCCCAAGGCAGGACTTCTCAGACTTTCCCAGACCAACAGTAAGGAGTGGTAGAAGCACTCATGAAAAATGGCAGAACATTTAAGACCGCATTAGTGCCAGACAACTGGCAGGAAAGCACAATTATCAATAGCCAAAGCCTAGCTGCTACTGGCATATATTTATATAGATTTCCATATAAATTCACAAAATAAAGAGGCCCACAGTGGCTTCTCAGCTCTACTTTATCACGGGTGTCCAACCTTGGCAACGTTAAAAGTTGTGGACTTCAAATCCCAGAATTCCCTGGCCAACAAGCTGTCAACGTCAAGATAATCCTGCTTTGTGAGATATTGGTTGTGTGAATCCTTCTAGCTGTGGCTTATTCAACAGATTGCAGGAACACCAGACATGGCTTAGCATCTTGTGTGTAAACTCATAAAACATTCCTATGCCTGTTTTAGTAGTTACCATAAAAAAGTGGGGGAAAGTGCAGCAGTTTGAAAGCGGAAGTACGTTCCAACTCTTATCTTTAAAAGATTGTAACTAAAATACCACTTTTTGCCTGTGAATATATTTAATTGGAGCGCGTGAATGAGGACACCCAGCCTGTGAACGTGCTCAATTGGAGAACATGGTTTATGAAACACCCAGGGGGGAGAGGGGGAAACAGGGTCACAAGGGGCTGTAAATTATGTATGCCAGAGTTGGCTTCATACAGGGCAGTGCCAATATTTCACCCCTAATAAATCCTTTGAAGTTTATTGAAGTTTGGCTGGAGAATCATGATTTAATTAGAGCGATTGCTGGAATCCTGCCCTCTTGCATGACCCTAACAAACACACCTTCAGCCATTTCATCCAGAGTCTCAAAGTCACATCCGTCGAATTTCAGCAGATCCACCTCCCAGCTGGCAAAGGTCTCTGCGTCCTGTTCGTAGTGGCCGTAGCTTCCGGGAAAGCCAGCACAGGTTCTGTTCCCAATGTCTGCATAAATGCCCAGCTTCAGCCCTTTGGAGTGGACCTGAATCACAGAGGCCAAGAAGGAGAAGCAAAGGCAAGATCAGAAAGCGGCAGGCAAGTTGCATTTCCTAAGCATTCCTCCCAAAAAATTAAAACATGCTAAGGCTAACTTTTCTCAACCTGGCATTCTCCAGATGCGTGGTCCCACAACGCTCAAAATTCCCCAGCAAGTATAGAATGCAAAGCTGTACCTCTAAAACAGGGGTCTTCAAATTCGACAGCTTTAAGACTAGTGGACTCCAACTCCCAGAATTCCTCCTCCAATCATGTTAGTTCAGGAATTCTGGGAGTGCAAGTCTGCCAGTCTTAAACTGGTCAAGTTTGAAGACCCTTGCTCTAAAACATCTGGCCCATGTTTGGATATGGTGCTTTTAAAGGGCCCAGAGAGAGAGAGAAAGACCCAAGATGTGAGGGGGGGAAAATCATGGGAGTCAGAGAACCAGCTTCCACCCCAAGTCAGATCTTTTTGATTTGACCCAGCAGAATGATTCTTATAGAATTTGTAGAGCAAGTGGGTTAAGGACAGTAATTTTTGGTTTGCAGTTAGAAATTAATACAGAAGGCAAAGTATAAATAGATTTTACATAGGAAACCTCTTCCACCTTCTCCAGAGAGAAATTGGATTAACAGCACCCGCCCTTTCCATCAATCCAGCATTCCTGAATTTTCCAGCTGCCCCAAGTTGGAAGAAGCTCCCAAGGCAAAAATTCCCAAGCGCCCACTCACATAGTCTGCAAGTTTCTTTATCCCACTGGGAAAGCGTTTGGGGTCTGGCTGCAGCCGTCCCTGTTTATCGCGAGTGGGAGCCATCCAACAATCATCGATAGACAGGAAACGGTACCCAACGTCTTTCCATCCATCCGACGCCATCCGGTCAGCCATCTGCATGAAGAGCTCTTCACTGGGAGAAGGGAAGGAGTGCAAAAGGCCAGAAATGAGTAAGGAAGTAGAAAATGGGGAAGAAAAAAAAAAGAGAACAGTCATTCATCCCCTGGAAAGATTCAGATTTTTTATTCTGAGTAGCAACAGGCTGTTGTCAATTCATAAAATATTTCTATTGTCTTTTTAGAGTTGCCAATAGAAAAGGGGGTGGGGGGAGCAGTGTGGCAGCTTGCAAACTGAAAGTGCATTCCATAAATGTTTTCAAAGGTGGTAACTAGGTGACTGAAGTTTCTACCGCGCAAAATTCTAACTGGAGAGCATGATTGATGACTCTTGTCTATGGATGTGTCCCATTGGAGAATATGGATTATGATAAACCCAGGGGGTGGGGGAAAACCAGGGTCAAGGGTGACAATGAATGATGTGTCTCAGAATCGGCTACACCCAGGCAGTGCCAGACAGTTTAACTCCCAATAAATCCTTTTTTAAGTTTTGGAAGTTTCGCTCGAGACTTATGATTTAAATGGGAGTAACTCCCGGAATCCTGACAGCTGTAATTTGGGTCAAATATTTTTGGAATTACTGATTTACGGTAGACACTTCTGAAGAAAAATCACAGCCTAAATTAAAATGGCTAGAAATGACAAAATGTCATGACTCTGAGCTGTTTTGTTGATGAAAACACTACCAGAATTCCACCGATAACATTCCAGCCATTTAAAAATCCAACATTTCTATTAAACCTTATCATAGTTCTTTTTGCTAAAAAAGGACCAGAACATTTTCTCTCCCAATGAACCCTAGAGACATTCATAGTCTATGCTGTTTGAGGAAAGGACTCAAATTATTCTGTAATTGGCCCTATGTATTGATAGCCCGATATAAACACATATCATGAGACACTCATCTCAAGCCACTGAAAGTATAGCAAAGGAGTCACAGATATTGCTAGTTTATGAATTGCTTACTGGCAGGTTCTGCAACCTTTAGAGGAAAAACTTGATAGTTACCACCAAAGGGACATGCTGGTTCTTGTTGGTTGGTTGTCAATTTGTTTCTATTTAGTTTTCTTGTACTGTATGTAATAATTGTTTTGTGCTAAGAACTTTTTCTTCTTCTTGCTCTACAAAGAAGGCCAAATACAATGGCAAGAAAGGATATAATGGGTAATGACCAAGTTTGCTTATTTGGAACTTAGTTTTATGTATGAACCAGTCTTTGCGATTTCTAAACCACGTTTTATGGCTTAGCATTTTTTGTAAAACCACTATTTCTGATAAATCCCCATACACTGGATTAAAATATGGTTTGTTTAATCATAGTTTATGAAACTATGATGTCATACTTGGCTGTCTCTTCACACAAAACCAAAGGCCAGGCCCAAACCAGCCCCTTATATCTTAGCGCAATGTGAATTCAACCAGTGCTTTATTCCAGTGTGAATCAACTAAGAGAGGGTTATATTGAGACTACCCATTAATTCTGAGGCTTGAAAACCTGTCCTTTTCAAGCCAATGGGAAAAGGGTGTTTTTTAAAAAAAAAACCAAAACAGAACTGCATGGGGATTGGTCCGTTTCTGGACTTTGGGGCCAATGAAATGGTCACGCTTAGGACCAATAAAAGGGTTGAGTCCGAAACTGGACCACCAATCAGATGAGAGCTGGAATGGAGGGAAAATGGTATAAATGGGGCCCACCGCTGACAGAGTGGGTCAGGCTGCCTGGAGAAGAGGCTGGAGAGAAGACAAGGCTGGTGATGGACCAACTGAGGCACAAGAGAGAGATCCTATGAGGAAAAAAAAGAGCTGAAGCACTGAAGTTCCCAGGAAAGGAACATATGTAGGAGCTTATGGAGAAGCCACCCTGCAAACCAGTTGGACCAGTGTCCTGAGGGAACAGCATGCTGGGACCCTTCTCTGAAGAAGATCTGAGGCAGCCAAGATGCCTCACCCCATCCTGGCATGGCTGATGTCACAAATCCTGCTAAACTTGAAGAAATAAAGTTTGCTCTTGACTCTTCCTTGTGTGACTCCTCATCTGATTTAACTACATCCTAGTTAAGGGATGTGTGAGCGAGAGTGGTGTATCTGAGGGAGACACTAGGGCCGTGATGGTGAACCTATGGCACATGTGCCACAGGTGGCATGCCATTTGTGTTGGCATGAGAGCCAGGATTTACCTCACTGTGCATGTGTGCTTCACAGCTGATTTTTGGCCTCCCAGAGGCTTGAGGAAGACTTCTGCAGGCCAAAAACTAGGCCTGTTTTGTCACTTCCTGTTTTTCTGAAAATACTGGAAGTGATGAAACGGGCCTAGTTTTTGGCCTGTAAAGCCTGCAGAAGCTTTCTTCAAGCCTCTGGGAGGCCGAAAAAGGCCTCAAACCAGCTGAAAAAAATCATCTGTGAGGTGCAGTGCAGGACAGCAGGGGTGGGTGGGGATTGTGTGTTACATGCGTAGGGGGCAGGGGGGGTGCCTTCTGGGTGCTGGAGTGTGAGTGCAAGTGCATGCACAATTTTTGGCACAGGAGCCCAAAAAGGTTAGCTACTACTGGACTAGAGTTTAGTAGTCTGGTTTTGGGCCTTTTGGAAGAGAACAGCAGGCAGAAGTGAGACTCCTCTCTAAGAAGACTGCCAGTATTTATTAGCTATTAGTAGGCTACCTCTATTGGCAGTTTGATCAGCCTTCTGTCCTTTCAAATGAGGTAAAATGAGGACCCAGATTGTGAGGGCCATAGGCTGATTATATAAACTGCTTAAGAGAGGGTGGTAAAGCACTGAAATGGTATGTAAGTGCGATTGCTGGAGTGTAGCTGATCGGATGTTGTATTAGGAGCCATGGTTAAATGCAGCATTGCAGGCTGACTCTGCTCACTGCCAGCAGTTCGATGCTGACCGTCTCAAGGTTGACTCAGCCTCCCATCCTTCCAAGGTGGGTCAAATGAGGACCCAGATTGTTGGGGGTCAAGAGGCTGGCTCTGTAAAGCACCGTAAAATGGTAATAAGTCTAAATGCTGCTATTGCTATTAGTTCATTTGCAGATAGGAAGCTTTTAAAGAGGAGCTGGGGGTGTCAAAGCTCCTTCTCAAGGCAACCTCCAGGGAGTCCAATGTGATTTTCCAAAGAGGGGGAAAAAAAACCAAATTCCAGCCCTGGAGGAGGAGGAGCCCCAGCACCTTCTGGACTACAACTCCCATATTCCTTTCCCACGAGGGGGGGGAGAGAGAGGAGGGGGGGCCCCAGCACCTTCTGGACTACAACTCCCATATTCCTTTCCCACGGGGGGGGGGGGAGAGGAGGGGGAGCCCCAGCATCTTCTGGACTACAACTCCCATATTCCTTCCCCCTGGGGGCAGAGAAAGGAGGGGCTGGTCTCCGCCCAAGGGACCGACCGCCTCCAGCCTCCCCTCCGCCTGCTACCTGATGCAGTCGCGGGGCTCCCGCTCGCAGTCCGTCTGGCAGAGGAAGCGCTCCCAGTGCAGCCAGCCCATGGGCGGCGTCCGAGCCAGGCCGTTGTCCAAGGCGGAGGCCAAGCCCACGGCCGCCAGCAGCAGCAGCAGCAGCGGCACCGCCAGCACGGCGCCCCGCTCGCTTCGCCCTCCGGCCATCATCCCGGCTTCTCCCTTTCCTCCCGAACGATTCACGGCCGGAGTTTTTCCGAAACGGCCAATCGCAGCTCTCCGTTCCTTCCTCGGCAGCCAATCGGATCGCAGCCTCCCCCGCTCTCGGCCAATCGGAACTCTCCGCGGGCTCAGCCAATCGTCTCCCGCAAGGGAAAATTAAAAAAAAAACTTGCGGACTTCCCCCCCCTTGTGATGGAAGCCAGGTCACATGACGCTCGGATCACGTGATGACGCATGGCAGCTGTTAACCCTTTCCGAACCTGCAGTCCGATTCTCCCTTTTAGTCCCAAAGGGGCTTTTTTTTCTTTTCCCAAGAGGCAGCTGGACTTCCTTGTTTTTTTTTTCCCTTGAAGACGTTTCGCTTCTCATCCAAAGAAGCTTCTTCAGCTCTGACTGGATGGTGGGAAATGGAAGGATTTGTAGTCCTTGCAGACTAGAGCTGGTCATTTACAACGAAATTTCATTTTTAGTGTATGCCAATTAGCGTGCATTCAAAGTGACAGTAAAGTTATTCTATTTGCAACCTTTTTAGAGAGTGGTTGAGGCCACCTGGAGATTTATCTGTGACCTGGAAGACTAAGAATCTCTATAGACTTTTTTTTTAGCTATGCAATTTGGGATGAAACACCCTTTAGCCACATCAATTCTGAGCTCAATTGTGGTTGTAAGTCGAGACCTACCTGTGTTTAAACCGTTATAGCAAAGCACCATACTAACTTGTATGTCATAGGACTTTCCTTCCCCCCCAAACATGCTACAGTGGCAGAGCCTTTTTCAATTAAGACAATTTGGGATGAACACTCTTTGAATGGTGTGGGAGTAGGAATTGACTTCAAAAAAAATTGCAGACTACATGAGCCAGGTGATTCTGAGGACACAGATAAACCTCCAAGTGCTTTAATGATAAAAAAAGGATGCAAATGACCAGCTGTCTGCAAAGAATATAAAACCTTCCATTCCCCACCATCCAGTTAGTTGAAGTTTCTTGGATGTGAAGTGAAACGTCTTTGAAGAAAAACCAGAAAGTCCAGTTGCTTCTTTAAAAATGCACCTTTGGAACAACCATGACCTGGATGATTGAGAATCTCTATAGATTAACCTTTAGCGTAAAATAAACTTCATTTTTGACCGATATAACACAATTATTACTGTTGCTCCGATAAAAATAATCCCCAAGCAAGACTTTGCAACAAGGAAAATGCAGGATAAATTCATCCATGAGGAGTCCTCGTGCTCTCTGAGCTTGGTTGCTTTCTTGCAAAGGTTTCATGACTCAAAGCTATCTGATGATGTTCCCTAGTTGGGTCATGAAACGTCTGCAAGAAAACAACCAAGCTCAGAGAGCACCAAGGACTCATGTCAAGCTTGAGCTACAAATATTCCCCTTTATTAAATTCAAACATACATAAGCACATGAATGCATGTGCACATTTGAGCTTTTGCTTTGTTTGGATAGCCAAAGTAGATAATCATTCAGACTTGATGTCCATTTTTGTATCACAAGCAGGTAACCAAATAAAAGAGTCAGGAAAAACTGGGAAGATTGGAGCCAGTAAACCTTTCAGCTACAACACACACTGAAAGAAAAGCCAGATCTTTCTTTTTTTCCGCAACGCTTGACAAGCGGAGAGAAAAATAAAGAGTCAAAAACTCCTGGCGTAGTGTCTAACATTTATTATTTCCGCCCTTCCACCATGATTATGTGATATCCAAACTTGGTTTTAACGGGGGGATCCGTGTACACTGGTTTGTCCATGCTGCTGACGGGCAAAGCAAATGCTGCTTCCTGAAAAGGCCCCACCATGGAGCCTCTGCTCATCCAGCCCAGATCTCCCTGGAAAACAAGCACAAGGGAAGGATGGAAAGGATGGTGAAAATGACCTATTCCACCCTATATAAACCCATTTGCTAGAGAATATTCTCTCTATATATATTCATTAATTCAGCATTTCAGTTCTTATAGTTAAGGAACTTTAGAAACCTAATTTGGGACAAAAGCAAGAGATTAGTCATGCCACTGGAGAAAACACTTTATTTGTCTTGAGAATTCTGCAAACGTTCTTGCTCTAGTTTGGAGAAACGAAAGAACTTACCCCTTGTCTGGCTTTGTCTTCGCTATATTGTGCAGCGACCTCACTGAAGCGCACTCCAGCTTTGACCTTCTCCAAGGCTTCCAGAGCTCTGCTGTGTTTCTCACACAGAATATGCCTCACCTAAAAATAAAAATAAAAACCAACCCAAAACAGAGATTAGATATATATAGGGTGGTCTTTCCACATTTAGTTTAAGAGTACTGGAGAACTGACAGCCTGGGTTTGAGACTCGAGTTCTGAGCAATGGGGTGAGCTTTTGTTTCTTGCCTCAGCTCTTGCCCACCTAGCAGTTCAAAAGCATGCAAATGTGAGTAGATAAATAGGTACCACTTCGGTGGGAAGGTGAGTTCCATGTGCCTTTGGCTTATAGCCATGCTGGCCAATGACCCGACTCTAGCACTGTGCCCAAAGTTAGACACAACTGACAGGGGAATTTTACCTTTACCTTTACTCCTACAGTTACCTTCTTCTTGGTAAGCCAAGCCACAGTTCCATTCACCTCTTGCTGGCTAATTATTGATACAGTTTCTAATGCATGTTCCCAAATTATGGCTAGTTGACTAAGGATGGTGAGAGGCTAAAAAGCAAGCCACTTTAATCCAGGCTAATTGATTTCTAATTGCCAAAGAGTGCCTTTGAAGGCAGATAGTCCAAGATTCACATTTTCATCTTCAGAAAAAGAGATTGAGTAGCAAACAGCCAGAGATTTGCATTAGCAGAGCTTTATTTGGCAGTAGCATTTAAATTTAGTGATTTTTCTCTTATCCCAAAGCATTGTTCAGTTGTTGCTTATATTTTCATATAAATGTGCTGCCCACAAAACATGTAGGGAGTTGTCCATATTACTGCCAGGAGTCAAAACTGATTTGAAGAACTCAAGTCGAATATCTCTAATTTTATTTACTGAACGTAAACATATCAACACATTTAGGATATCGGGCATTTGGGGTGGGGGGGCAAATCCAGATCTCTGCCACCTTCTTTCTGAACTTTTTCCCACTCTGAAATATTTCTGGCGTTGAGAGAATGACACCTCATTCTACTCTCACACCCTGTTCGTGACTGGCATGGCATCCTTGGCTGCCACCTCAAACTGGGTGACCAGAAGACCTACCTTCACGGAACTGCCTCCTCCTTTTGGCCCCTGAGCTTTCTTGTCGGCTGTGTCACTGCCAGAAGATGCTCCTCCTTTCAAGACACAAGAGGGGAAAGCAACAGTGAATCTGGTTGGAGAATTCACCTGATTGCACCTCCATTCGCTGAATCGGATGGGCAGGGCTGGACTGGATGTTTTGGGCGCATCTGAGCTCCAGGCTATCATACCTCACCTCCTGGTGGAATCAGACAGCAAGCACGAAAATGTTGCTTTGAGCTCCGAGCTTGGTTGCAAACATTTCATCCCCATTTGAGGAACATCTTCAGTGCGCTTTGGATCGTAAAACTTAAACTACCAACCTGAGCTACTAACATTCAAAGACATTTCAAGCAGGAAAATGTTAGAAGAATCATGTGTTGGAAGGAAAATCCATCTGGTTCAGTTCCAAGCCGGGAGGAAGGCACTGGAAATAAAATGGAGGCTGGAGACCGATTGGAAAGAAGGTCCGTTTATTGATGAAGCAGAACCACCAACCACATGTGATTCTGGGAGAGCTGACAAAATGCAGTAGAGAGTGGGTGGGTTTTATAACTTCTGGATTCCTTTGGGGTCATGTAGGGGTCATGGCTGGCTCTATAGGCAAAAGGGGAAATGCAAATCCTAGGTGTTTGTCTGAGCTCATTTTGTCAACCTTTTGTTTGTTGCTTTCTGTCTTGACCCAGCCTTTCTGAATGGATTACCAAATCTGCATTTCTAAAAGCTGGCCTCCTCAGTTTCTGCTTGGAGGAGGGAAACTGGGATTGGTTTCTGCCTCCCTTAAAATTTTTTGTATTTCTCCTTTAGGGGAAATATTTTATCCTGCCTTTTTAATATTTCTCCAAATATTTCATTCTTTGGGGGGGGGGCCTTCCCACAATACACATGCTTGCCATCTTTTGGGGCTTCCACCACATGCATTGTTTCAACTCCTACCCTCAAAACAACGCTATAGACCCCTGCACACCAGAACAACTAGACACAAGGACAGTTTTTTCCCCGAACGCCATCACTCTACTAAACAAATAATTCCCTCAACACTGTTCAACTACTTACAAAGTCTGCACTACTATTATTGTTAATCTGCTCATCACTCCTTATCACCCATCCCCTCCCACTTGTGACTATAACCTTGTTGCTTGTTATCTTTACGATTTTATTGTTTCCTAGTATGATTTGATTGCTTATTAGTAACCTATGACTATTACTAAGTGTTGTATCTTATGATTCTTGAGGAATGTATTTTTTTATGTACCCTGAGAGCATATGCAAAAAAGACAAATTCCTTGTGTCCAATCACACTTGGCCAATGAAGCTATTCTCTTCTCTAATCTAATCTTCTCTTATTCTATTTATTCTATTTCTATGCTTATTCTATTCTTTTCCTATTACTCTATTCTATTCTTTCATTCCAATATCTATTCTATTCTAAACAGGGCGAGCCCCTTTGGAAGGCATCTGCAAGAACTACAACTCCCATAATTCCTTGCCCGGCCACCTTAAGGCGAGACCGTATCATGCTGGCCGAGCAGAACTGGGCCGGCGGCTCCTCCTCTCCCAGTAGGAGTGGGAAGCAGAAACTGGGAAAGAGAAAAAATCGCAGGCCCCGCTCCCATCTCTCACCTTTGGCCGCTTTGCCGCCGCCTTTCCCTTTCGGAGGCATCTTTTACGGGCTTCTTCCTGCCTTTCTGCAGCACCGGGGGGGGTCGCTTCCCTGTGACGTCATCGCACGCGACTGAGACAAGCAAGCCCCCCCCTCCCCCCCGGCACAGTCGCCCTGGGTGATGCCTGCAGGCAGACTTTTAAGTAAATGATCCCAGCATCTGAGATGGAAAATCTGCTTTTTGTGTGTGTATATATATTTGGCTTTTTGGGCTTTTTGTTTTTTTGCTCCGATCACCCCAAAATGTTCCCCATCCACCCTCAACTCCAAATTTGAACAAGTTTGAAACCTTCACTTTTTTGACACTTTTTTTTTATCTTGTAAGCGATTGACAAATCAAAATAAATAAAATAAAAATAAACACATTTTCGTCGCAATGCTGCAGAAATTTCTGCTTCTAAATATTGAGCATCTCTACATTATGTGAGAGGCCAGAAGCATCTCCAAATCTCCAATAAAATTGAATATTTTATTGTATTGATTTTCTTTGAGCTGCTCTCAATGGTAAAAACATTAAACAGAGGCCTGAGTGTGTCATGTTCAAAGAAACTATTAAAACATTTCTAGCCAACGGGAGTTGTAAAAAGTATCAAAGATCCAAAAGATAGGGTCAGTATCAACCCAAGAGTGTGCATGACAGTCCTTTGGGGAAAAAAAAGGCTCGTTTGAGTAATGAACAAAGAAACAAAACAACGTCCACAAGCTTACAGTCCTTAAAAACTGTCCCCCCCACAATTTTCTTGATGCAGTTCAAGGACTGGAAATTGTATCTATGTGTACTGCAAATATTGCACATTGTGTTAAAGAGTTCAAAGGATTTCTGGCTTCGAGTTCAGGTGATCGTCTTCAATCCTTCAAAACCACAAAATTTCCATCTTTTCTCAAGGCTGGCGCCAACCCCGTTCATCTCTTGTTTGAAAGTATGCTGGAGTCCTGTCATGAGGTTTTCCACTTCAGTGGCGCAAATCTACAAAAAAAAGAGAAGCGGCATGTCATTAAAACTAACAAACTGGGATAAAAGCCCTTAAATTTGAGGTGGTAAAACTGCCATCAAAATCCTCTGGTTAAGTTGATTGCCATGCTAGACATCTCAATATATTACTTTTCCTTCTGTCTTTTGAAGAACATCTTAGAATATAGAATAACAGAGTTGGATGGGACCTTGGAGGTCTTCTAGTCCAACCCCCTGCTTAGGCAGGAAACCCTACACCACTTCAGACAAATGGTTATCCAACATCTTTTTTAAAAACTTCCAGTGTTGGAGCATTTACCACTTCTGGAGACAAGTTGTTCCGCTGATAAATTGTTCTGTCACGAAATTTCTTTTTCAGATCTTCTTTACAGAATGGTACTAGGTGATGAAAAGTAGTCCCTCTCTATTGTTTAACCGATCCCCAACCTTGGTAACTTTTAAGACTTTTGGACTTCAACTCCCAGAATTCCTCAGGCACCCAGCATTCTGGGAGCTGAAGTCCACAAGTCTTAAAAAGTTACCAAGGTTGGGCACCCCTGTCATTGTATGCTTAGGAAGATGGATGCAGGCCTCTGTAACAGGCCCATGGCATCCTCAATTACTCAGGGTCTGAATTCACAACATATTGTCTTACCATACTGCTGAACAAACTTCAGTCAGAGGCATTCACATTATGCTAAGCCAAAAACCATGCTGTCAATTCATAAAACATTTTGTATACACGTTTTATAGCTGACAACAGAAAGAATGGGGGGGGGGGGGAAGGAGTTTCAAAGAGCAGGCAGCAGTGTGGAATCGAAAGTACATTCCATTCATATTTTCTTCAAAGACTGATCAGATGACTGAAGCTTCTGCTGTGAAAAAAAATCTAATTGGAGAGCATGATTGATGACTCTTAGCTATGGACGTTTTGTGTTGGATGATACACCCAGAGGGGTGGGAGTGGGGAAGCAGGATCAAGGATGACAGTGAATTACGTATCTCAGAGTTGGCTACGCCCAATGCCGTCACATGGTTTAATTGGAGTAAATGCTGGAATCCTGACACATGCTTTTATAGAGCACCATGATTAGGTTTGCATGTCATACCAAGTTATGTTTTTGAGCAGGGCCTACTGAAGAAACCAGACATTACAGGAAGTGATAAACCATGGTTTTATCAATCCCAGAGGTTCAGATTTCACAATTTTTTCTTCTTTAAAAGTAATATCTTAGGATGAGGTGCAAACTCAGTCCATAGGGATTCAGGCACACAGTTTGCATTACAGGTAGTCCTCAATTTCCAACAATTTGTTTAGTGATTGTTACTGAAAACAGTAACTTACAATTGATTTTCATACGACTGTTGCAGTACCCCCAGGTCACGTGATCAAAATTCAGAAGCTTGGCAAGTGCTTCATATTTATGACGTCCCAAGGTCACGTGATTCCCTTTTGAGACTTTCTGACAAGCAAAATCAATGGGGAAGCCAGATTCACTCAACAACCGTGTTACTAACTCAACCCCTGCAGTGATTCGCTTAACAACGGTGGCAAGAAAGGTCGTAAAAATGGGGCAACACTCACTTCACAAGTGTCTTGCTTAGCAACATCGATTTTGGGGTCAACTGTGGTCGTAAGCTGAGGACTACTTGTCCTTGGCTCAAGATGAACCCACTCAATGGAAAAGAAGCAGTCCAAAAGCAGAAAAAGACTCTTTGGAATGCATTTAAAGGTAGCCAAGAACACCTAGAGGTTTACATTTTAATGTACCTACCTTACTGTCCAGGCGCTGGAGGTAAGAACAGATGTATTCAATGCTTGCCCCAAAAGGATGAACATGCAGAAAAGTTGAGATGATCCCTAAAAAAAAATTGGGGAGGGTGTTACTCCCAAGAGATGGAGATGGCAGCGCAGAACACACCTTAATTTCTTACAAGAGCCTGGCCGTATTTTGAAAAGAAGGAAAGGTTGTGGTCACAAGCCATTCTGTGCACGGAACAGCTGCTTTTAGATGATCTGGGCCAGGGCTGAAACATGCTCAACCTGTCTTGCTCTATAGATGGAATAAAATGGATTCAGGTTGTTAATCTGGTTGGAAGGGACCTTGTACCAGGTCATCTAGTCCAACCCCCTGCCCAAGCAGAAGACCCTACACCATTTTTGACAAATGGCAGTCCAGTCTCTTCTTGAAAGCCTCCAGTGATGAAGCTCCCACAACTTCTGTTCCATAGGTTGCTTGTTCTCACTGTCAGAAAATTTCTCCTTATTTCCAGGTTGAATCTCTCCTTGTTCAATTTCCATCTATTATTCCTTGTCTGGCCTTTGGGTGCCTTGGAAAATAGCTTGACCGCCTCCTCCTCTCTGTGGCAGCCCCTCAAATATTGGAAGGCTGCTATCCTGTCTCCCCTGGTCCTTCTCTTCCCTGGACTAGCCATGCCCAGTTCCTGCAACTGTTCATCATATGTTTTAGCCTCCAGTCTCCTAATCATCCTGGTTGCTCTTCTCTGCACTCTTTCTAGAGCCTCAACATCTTTTTATAGCTTCTGCCAACCTAGAAAGCATGTAAAAAAATGCAAGTAGAAAAATAGGGACCACTTTGATGGGAAGGTAACAGCATTCCATGTGCCTTTGTGCGTTTAGTCATGCCGGCCACATGACCACAGAGACGTCTTCGGACAGCGCTGGCTCTTCGGCTTCATAATGGAGATGAGCACTGCTCCCTAGAGCCAGAAACGGCTAGCACATATGTGTGAGGGGAACCTTTACCCTTACCTTTTAACCAAAACTGGATGCATTATTCTAAGTGTGGTTCCACAGGCTTTGCCTTCAGGATATGTTCAGTCAGATTCAGATCCCTGGTGGTTTCTCTTAATCAGTGTGTGGACCTCTCAGAGCTAACTAAATAGTGCCTTAAGCAAGGCATCTTCCGATGGTCCTGATTTAAATCTAAACTTCCAAGTGTCCAGCAGCTCAGGAGTCCTTACCCACTAGTAAAGCGTCCCTCTCCAATCTTAAAGGGTGGTAGTGAAGTCCTTTCTCAAGTAGTCTTTCCTTCTCTGGACTCTTGAAGCAAATGTTTGACAAGCCACTGTCCTAAAAGAAATTAAGGGGACCAATAAAAGAGTCCATCAACAGTCAACATCCAGATAAGCAGGGATTAACACCAGACAAACAATCAAACAGTATCCCAATGAAGGAACTACTAAGCAGAAAACCACACACTCTGCAATACAAGCAGGGCAACCTACTGTATATAAAAAGGGAGCAAACTCCAATCTCAATAGCACTGATGATGTTACTTAGTTGGGTAATGAAATGTCTGCAAGCAAACCATCAAACTCGGAGAGCAACAAGAACCTCACAGAATTAAGAGTAATCAATATGTTGACCAAGACTTGTCTCTTAACAACACGTTGATTTTTTAATTGTGCTCTGCAGACATTGGAATAGCTATACTGCCATAGGCAATTAACTTAAAGGACATCCCTTAACAAGCAGGCTGGAGGAAGAAGCAACTTCATATTTCACTCCCAGTTGAAATTCTCATTCTTTCTCACACAGAATAACAAAAAATATATCTGGTGCAATGGAACCGCAATGCAAAGAGTATGGTAAGTACTATCATGCATAATGTTCAGGAGGCAACCTACTTGATCTTTAGCTTCCATTGAGTCTTTCTCTCTGTCAGATCCAGCTGCCAGGTCTTGCTGCATTGGAAAAAGGAAAAGTTATAATCTCTGGAGTGTATAATTCTTCATGCAAGATCCTTCTGCCTTCTTGATGATTCTAATATCCTGAGCTTTGATGCCAAGCTTAATAAGGAGTTTACCAGTAAGTTAACTTGCTAATTTAAGGAAACAAAGCTGGCATAGCAGCTAATCTTTTTCGATGTACATGTGTGCAGGGACCTTCTTAATTGTGCTAATGACTTGGTTGCTTTAGATTTTCATTTTTGTAATGTTTGTAATTGTTTTCATTTTATTTGAATTCTGTTTGCCACCCAGAATTCCTTGTTGAGATAGGCAGCTGAGAAGCACTGTATAAAAAGGCAAGCTGGTATAAAAAGCAATCTTGCTCTGAGACAAAACTAAGATTTATTTATATGGAAAACATCCAAATTCTCCAATGGA